AAGCACACAAAAACAACCAATCACGTCCAAGGTCACCAAGACAGATAACTAATGGTGAACTCGTGGAGAAATCGAAAAGCTCACTTCATCAAATTGAAGATACTGCCTAGTAGGGCAATGATGAAAGCTTCGCAAATTAACTGTCCAACTCAGGAAACACAACCACATCAAAATCATCCACCTGAGCTACAAATCTCCTCCATCTTATCTACTCATTTCAATTTCGCTGAGATTTTACAAACATAATATGTCTAATTCTCACTCAGCTTCCGATTATTTTGGAACTATTCGGTCACATCTTGACCACAGTTCAAATGAATGCACACAATTCTTTAAAGTCACCGTAGTGATTGAAAACTATGATAACAATCGAGTCAAATAACGAAGAATACCAGAATATTTTAGAGGCATGCTGAAACATGAAAACATTCCAATTCATAGATTCATGTAACTAAAGTCAAATATATATTCAATTGTACCTTCCAGGTAGTGTGATGCCAGCTAATGACCGATATATTTTATTTGAATGTCAGAGGGAATTTTGTCGCTACTCATCTACAAGACGTCATTAACAACTGTCAGTGTGCTACTTTTCATCCAATTTTATTAAGGAGTTGAATGACCCTATCATAGGGATACCAGTCTTTTGAAAATGACCTTATTATACCAAACACTAGTACTTTAAACAGACTCTTCCACGATGATGATTACCTCGTATCTTATTATGCAATGTGACAACTCAAATGCATACTTTCTTTAATAAGGGTTAAAAGATAGAATGACACAAGATCTACGGTTAGGTATAGTGTTAGAATTAAGTTTTTGAAGCATGTTAATAATAATAATGATTTGCTTAATTCCAAAACGGTACTTGTGATACAGAATGGAATTCTCAGCATTTTTACTACAGTATTGCATCCAGTAAGTACATTAACAATAAATAAAATTCTACATAGATTAAGGGTATTCTCAGTTAGTTTTGACAACAATATATTGGCATGTCGGTAGCAAAGCCAAAAATTGAACAGAGTGTTTGAAGGTGTTAGAAAAGTAGATGCTAGCAAATTCACTGGTGTAGGCGGTAACAAAAAGGTCGAGTGTGAAAGAAAGAAGAAGAATGTTTTAAGTAGAGTTTTTAAGGAAGAAAGAAACAAAGCAGCACATAACAGAGAAAAAAGGAGGGAGAGAGAAAAAGAAAAGAGAGAAAGAAAACGTTGTTCCTATGAATGATATGAGTTGGAAAGACGAGATCCAGTTGTTCTACTGACTATTGAATAAGTCATAAGTTTCACGCCTAATGTGTTCTTTATCGCACAGAACACTAGTTAAGCAGGGTATGGTCGAGTTTTTGTACTTGCTAGTGCGAGCATATAGTTTTCTATATAGGCTTCTGATTCCGCCTGATGAGATACAAGAGGGGTGGAGTTGTGAATGAAGAGGGTGGTGTGAGATAGATAAAATGGAATTAGCCTATTTTTCATATGAGTCGAAGTGCCTGTCGACCAGAATACTGACAAGCTGGTTAAGTAGCACGTTGCTTACCACCCTTCTGACAACCCTTAAAATCCTGCGTAATAAGGTATAGTCTTTCTTCAGTAGCCCTGGAAAAACTAAGGGGGAACAATAGAGAATAATATGCAGGATGCAAGAGTTAACGAATTGTAGGAGTAAGGGTTGGGATATTGGGTTTATTGGATTTAACTTTAGTTCACCATACTGAATATCAGTCGACAATGGAATTAAAATTCAGCACGACAGTGTAATAACACTGAGGGGAGCGAAAATTGATTGTGTGTAAATTCCCATTAAGCCAAAGGTGGACTGAACAGTAATTTATAAAAAAATTGCACTAAAGCAAGCGAATAGTGAAGACTTTAGCGGACAAAGCGACTCACGAATTTACTCAGGCTGTGACATTAGGCACAATATGAAGTCAAACCGTTCTTTTGAGGGGAATAACCTTTCTCAAGCTGCTTGTATCTTACATGATATCCTATGAATGGATTGATGGAGTGCATTTCAGATGGGTAGACAATGTAAAAGAGTTCTGTCAACCAGGTACTGCACAATAACCCTAAATGGTATTAATCGTCACCTGTAGTGAAAATATTCGTAATACATAGTTACTTCGTTGTAGGACAGGTTGGAAGTACGTTCCTGGACATGCGAGTCATCTATGAAAAGACCACAGGCGTTTTCAACTTATTATTGAGCCCTTCAGCTATACCTATTCACTTGTACTTCTTGGTCTGCGAGTCAAAAGTGAAGTGTTATTCGACGTCATTACACTTAATATATGATGGTCATTTAGTCCTATCCTTGTTGCATAGCATCAGTGTTTTATAGTCGGGAAGTTTGAAGTCAGTTGGTTGAATAAATGTCTACATCTGCCTAGTTTCTAAGTGTCAATGACTGCCGCGTAATCCATCCAGTTGAAGACTTCTTCTTCTTCTCCTGTGTGTTTGACACTTGATGCATGCATATGCGTGAAGACTGGTATTCATAATTAACTCATCAATAAAATTCAGAAATTAGGCACACTGTGGTAGATTTAGGTAGGTTATGTTTTACTGTTTCCCTGCTTTCTCATGAAAATTTATATACTGTCATTATTTACACCCAACTGAAGGAGTAAGTATAATGTTGGTTTTATGCTTTGGCGTCGCTACTGAAGGTTAACTAGAGAGAGAGAGATAGAGAGTGGTTGCATACTTCGATTGTAGATCTTGTGATAACCATTCGAGCTCACTAAATAAACTTTCCAGTTTCCCCTCAGTCAGTAGTAGTGTCTCTCAGCTTTGTCAGTGGGATAATCGCTTAGTAACTCAGAGGTCCCTCGATTAAAATCAATATTCATTACCTTATTATATCATGCTTCAATTATCAAATCATTTAAAGCAACTGTTTTTAATTAACCAACTCGAAGTTGTTATGAAAATTGTCTGAAATCAAACAAATTACTGCAGTGAAATCTAAGCAGAGATAGAATTTAGGGTGTATGCTATGTCTAGGATTAAAACGCTATCGTCGTCCAAGTGTAATCTGAAATCATCTTCCATACGATCCTTTGTGTAGTAAACACACCCGTCCTACAGGCAACTAGTAGCGAGTAATTTCCAGTTTGAATCTAGTCAAGTGACACTCAAAAAAAATGTAAATTGTAGCTGATGTATATGTTAACTTTTTACGCATTTACTTGTCCTTTATTGCTTCACCGGTAGAATGCTTATCAGTCATGCGGAAGGCATGGGTGAGTTCAAATCCCCAGCTAACTCAATTTTAAACCTCACCTAGTATATTCGATAGTTTAGATATGATAGAGAAGATTTGTAGCTCAGGTGGATGATTTTGATGTGGTTTTGTTCTCTGAGCTGGATGGTTAGTTTGCGAAGCTTTCATCACCTTACTGGGTGACATCTTCAGCGCATACTTCAATTTGAAGTGAGCTTTTAGATTTCTCCACGAGTTTATTAATCATCTCTCCTGGTGACCTTGGACGTGATTGGTTGTTTGTGTGTGTTTTCACACCTTCTAGGTTACTTGTATTGGAACCGGTTGTTTCTTTGACTTGAACTTTGACCCTTTGTGTGTGAAGTTTCTTTCTTATTGGTTGATAAATTTTGTCTATCTCGATGTGTCTATTGATTGATGATCCACTGGAATGCCAAGCTTCTAAAAATTCTCTAGCATTCTTGTTATTTCCTTTGTCTAATATTTGAACGTTGTCCCAGTCGAATTGATGTCCGTAGTTGTCTGTGTGTAGTGAAATGAGGGAGTGGATATCATGTCTTTTGACGGCTAGCTTATGTTCGTGGATACGAAGACGAAGGGGACGTCCACTTTGGCCGATGTAGTGTTTTTCGCAGTTGTTACAGTTTATTTTGTAGATGATGTTGGTTTTGTCTTCTTTCGCTGTTGAGTCTTTTGGTTGACATAGAATTGAGTGCAGCGACTTTGTTGGTTTGTGTACGACGTCAATTCCTAAAGGTTTGAAGAGTCTTGTAGTGATTTCTGAGATATCTTTTATATATGGTAAGGCAATTTTCTTTGTGCTTTCCTTGGTGGCTTTTGCTTTGGTAGGTTGGCTTGGGGGTATATGTCTCTTGATGAAATTCCGTGGATATCCATTCTTTTGGAAGACGTCCATGAGATACTTTTCTTCAATTTTCCTTAAGGTGGGAGTGCTGCAGTGAGTCCTTGCTCTCTTGAATAGTGTTTGTATGCAATTCCTTTTGTGTGTATTGGGTTGTTGCTGTTGTAATTCAGTATTTGGTCTGTGTGAGTTGATTTCCTATAAACTTGAGTTTCTAATTCTCCTGTAGTTGTTCGCCTGACTAAGACGTCCAAAAATGGTATTTTGTTCTCGGATTCCTCTTCTCTTGTGAATTTGATGTCGTTGAAGACGTTGTTTATTAAGTTGTGAGTTTTATCTAATTCGTTTCTTTTGATGATTACAAATGTGTCGTCGACGTAGCGTATCCAAATCTTGGGTTTGATCTTTGGTAGAATTATATTTTCGAGTCTTTGCATCACTGCTTCTGCAATCAAACCTGATATTGGCTCACTTCAAATTGAAGTATGCGCTGAAGATGTCACCCAGTAAGGTGATGAAAGCTTCGCAAACTGACCATCCAGCTCAGAGAACAAAACCACATCAAAATATTCGATAGTAATAGGCCCAGGGGAGAAGGAAGGTTGGACTAGCATACATCTAGCGATACCACTTCTACTGAAACTTCAAAGTTTGAGTCCCTGTGTCACAATTTAGAAATCATTCACTTCCCTATTAGGATAATATACCATCATATATATGAAGCTTTTTGTCTTCATGACTCATCAAATTTCTCATCCGTATAGAAGCACCGGAAAGGATTTCCAACAGGCCATTCCAGACATTTATCAACAACTGTCTCCATACTGAATACCAAATGGCTGGCCGGTTGGTCAGAAAAAATTAGTAACAAGAAATTCTGGCTGACAACAAATCACCAGGTGAGAGCCTATCGTTCAACAAATATGTAGAAGAAAATGGCAATGGATCGAGTATACACTGAGGAGACGGTCGAATGACACTGCGCACAGTGCAGGCTAGAGCTCAAGTGGGATCCCAATGGCAAACGACGAGTGGGTCGTTGGTGCGAAGATGACATGGAGGAGGAGATGAGAGATTATGGGCAATCGTGGATTTGGTCAGCTGAAGAGGACTGCAGTGTAGATGTATTGCTGAAGCCCAGTTTTCCACCCGGAACCCAAGGAAATAATAGTGATAATATACCAAGCATGGACAGTTGTGACTCAATTATGTTTTCACATGGTAAAAACGCTTTATATAATTTAAAGAATAAAGAAACACAATTTTAAGAATTCATGCCGTGTTTTCTCTTCATTAAAACTAATTCAGGTGTATAACATCACCATCATCACTGTTATCATTGAATGGTCTAATACTTTCTAAATGCTTAAAATAATGTAAAATGAAAGATTCTATAGAAAGTCTGAGAAAATGTCTACAGCATAATTCTTCAACGTTTAGAAGTGGTTCAACGATGAAGCGTTCAATTGGTATCTCCATTATTGTTTCATTTATTGTAGCCAAACTAAAACAAATACATGAATAGACAAAAGAAAAGAGTGTATTATTTAAGCAATTAAAATATAAAATGATTATCTGTTGGACACATTGAACCAGTGACTTGAATGTCTTGTTTACCATGAATGCCGTCAGTGATTCAGTGGTAGAACATCCAACAACCATGAATATTGTCTATAGTTTGATTCCTGGTCAATAGATGCACACATTAACTTCACCTAACCGGTTGTAAAACCGGTAAAGTGGAAAAGATGAACGTGAGACTTGTAACCCCATCCAGCAAAAGAACAATTTCTCTACCAGCAAGAGTACAGAATAGATACCGAAGTTAAATGATGTCAGTTCATGATGAAATTGTCAAATCAATCAAACAAAAAAAAACAAAATCCCTACAAAACCAGTACTTCAAAATTAATCTGATGCTCACTAGTGACTGGTCACATTCACGCAGTTAGTTACCTGGAGTTCTATTGGGAAATCATGACAGTGACTCATTCATGAAGATATTATGAGGTGGTCGCGCTATGTCATGAATCGTCAGAAGTTAGTATTCATTGGATTTGGGTCCCCGTGGATTAATGGTCTACGAGGTAGCTCGCCTTGTAATCAGAACGTGCTGGGTTCGAACCCTATGGTATGGGTGCATACTGCCGAAGAGTCCCAGACTGGGACGAACCAACTGTCTAGTACTCCAGTGATATTTTTTTTCAATGGTCGCCTAACTGATGTGAGCTCGTGATGAAATTCTGTAACTAATCCATCAAATACCCGCAAACTAATACTTGAATATAATGTCGTTATTTTGGTTATAATTAGCTATTCTAACTCCAATGTGAAGTCAGTGCTACTATACGGATCAGAGACTTGGCGAGTCATAAAGAGCATCTCAAACAAACTTCAAACCTTCATTAACAACTGTCTCCGCTCAATACTCAAGATCAGATGGCCAGAAAAGATCAGCAACAGGGATCTCTGGGAGCGAACCAATCAGGAACCGATTGTGAAACAAATAGGCAGAAAGAAATGGAGATGGATTGGCCATACACTGAGGAAACCATCAAGTGACATCACTAGACAAGCCAGTGCTCGAGTAGAACCCGACGGCATGGGAAGCGGCGAGTTGGTCGTCCCACGGTGGGGTGAATTGGAGGTCATGCGAGGAGGAGATGAAAGCATGTGGACAGACCTGGAGCAGGGTGAAAAAGTTGTCAGGAAACCGAAGGCAATGGAGGTGTGCAGCTGAAGCCCTATGTTCCTCTAGGAACTAAAGGATATAATAAATAATAATAAATAACTCCTCGTATACTTTGTACCCTGTCTCGATTGACAGCATGTAAGTTTACTCTTGTAAAATGAACTGGCTATTCATAGTTAAAGTATTATTTAAATTATTTCACATTTAATGCTTATGCAGTTTATTATTCAGGTTGTATACAGCTGATGAAAAATACGATGAAATTAAATAAATTCATATCATACTGCAAAAGTTGTTCTTATCGCATTATTCATATTTGTCAAGGGAAGTAATTTCTATGAAGTATGATGCTGATGGTAGTACTATGGTGAGAGCTGTCGGCAAGCTAAAATCGTAGACACCAATTTATGTCAATGCCTACGTCCAAAATCGGGGGCATGAGAAAAAACAAGATCAAAGCCTAACATTGAGGAACTCACCAACCAATCACAGCAGACTTAACGTGTGCAAATACGATTCTTAGGTATATGGCTTGACGTACTAAGAAACGATCACAAGCAGTACAGAATAACTTTCAACAAGAAAACAATCAATCAGAAGACGTTACCTCTCAGCGAACAATAACGCTAATAATAATGCACATAAAAATCTACAAATACCTCTTGATTTTCTCAATAAACAATCTGCTGCCTGAACCGTGTCTTCTGTCGTTACAGTACGACAGTTCAACACAAAGAATAGAAAATAGAAGAGATATCGGTGAATTATCGTCACACTTGGTTGGTTAGTTAGTTAGTTGGTTACACGGAAAACTGAACCGAATGGAAACATCCATTGAAAAAGCGATTCAAGTTCCCCCACACGAAGGTAAGGAAAAGAAACAAAATCCATAGACACTAAACACAGGAGGAATAATTTCATGAAGAATAATGAAGAGATTCAGAATCTAGCATTATTCTGCACAATTTGATCCAAAAGTCATCAGAAGTCTCTGATCATTGATGCGTAAGATCCCCTAGGACTTTAGTCTGCTGGTCTATACTTGTATTCATTAGTTCGAACAAATAGTGAAAGACTTTAGGTGTTGATGCCAATGTGTCGTACGAACGCACTAGATTGTTTTCTGAAGCAAACATATATCAGTTAACATTGCTGAACAAGGAAACTGATGTCTAGGAAGCTTCAAAACATCAGCGAATGGATTCCCCTGCACATAAACTTGGCAGTATCGTGGACACCAAGAGATTAAACACACCATTCATCTCCTCTGCTCAATGTAAGACAATTCTACAGTACTCCTAGTCGAAAGATAAGAAGACAGTGGTGAAGTGGTTTGAAGTGTTGACCATTTCACTTATTTGGGAAGTTGCACTAATTAAGCCCTAATGGATTAAGCGATGACGAAATCTCAGTAAGTAGGGATACAAAAGGCTCGTGTAGTAGTGCTGAAACTACACTAACTTTGACGTAGACGTGATATCCTCTTATCCGACTAAGGAGGTATATACACTACTCATCAGTTAGCTCTGTGTTGTTTTACGGTTGTGAGACCATAGTCACTGAAGGTGGAAGATTTGATGAAGAGGCTAACGGTCTATGACAACAGATAGATGCCTGTGTCCTTATGGTCATGTCAAATGATATACTATCGTGAATAATAATGAGTTCAGTTGAGGGTATTCCACACAAAAGTGAAGGGGTGAACGTCTCGAAACATATGGGAATAATAATAATACTGTGGTAAGAGCTGTCTGCTATCCAAAATTGGCAGACAGCAATTTACGTCAATGTTTACGTCCCAAATCTTGATCATGAGAAAAAACAAACAAAAAGAAAGACTGACTGCCTCAACTACCAATAACAGCAGACTTAGCGTGGGCGGATACGATTAGCAGAAATATCTATGGACTGCCTAAGAAATGGCGACAAAGAGATGACAGAATGACCTTCATGGGGAAAACAGCCAATCAGAAGACGTTGCTTCGCTGCTAACAATTACGAATAATAATGCACATAAAAATCTACAAATATCTGTTGATTTTCTCAATAAACGACCAGTTGCCCGACCCTCGTCTTCTGTTTTTACAATGCCATTAGATAGTACTACTGAGGACAAGATGGAAATATCACCACATTTGAATAATCATCATTTATCTAGTCATTTATGTGTTTCGAAAATGGTCAAGATGTCAGTTTCGCAAACATTCAAAATACAGGAACAATAATTTCATAACTTACTTTGTTATCATTTGGATTATATTACGCAATAAGTGACCATGACCCATGAGAAGACGACATTTGATCCTATTCAGTAAACGTGTTATGCGTAAACCTTGTACAAATTTATTCATTAAGTTTTCAGTGAATAATGTGACAATCTTTTTTTCATTCAATGAATTATCGTCTTGTTCTTTTTCTAAATTAAAACAATTAAAAAATTTTATATAAAAAGTTTACGGACTACTGATATTCACTAGATCCACAAATGGTGCTGAACTTGTCAGAAAAGTATATTTGAAGTTACATCATGAATTCATATACATATATACATATATATATCAGCGAGAGAACCTCTAGAGACCAGGGAGTACTAGACAGTTGCTTGATCCTAGTTTGCTGCTCTTCTGTAGTATACACCCAATAACCCAACTAATGGGGTTCGAACCTAGGACCATGAACGGTTGAACAAGTCCCAGAGGTTAAATGGTCTGTTATCTCTCCTCAACTCCTAAAGCCCCGGTGAGATGATTTCCGAGCACTTCTAAAGAATCTTGAACTAGAGCGAAACCATTGTCTAGTACACCGAGGTTTTGAATGGTTCCCTAACTGGCACCAATCAATCATTAAACTTGAGAAAATTGAAATCCCTACAACTATTGAAACTTAGTGAAATATTATTTCAATTACTGTAATTAGACTTTCCTTGGGGACTTATTCTCATACAAAACACGGTTGGATTGTACAAAGATTTCACCAATCCTAACAGAGCTGAAGTTCTGCTGCACCTTAAAGAATTCCTATATTGTAGTGATACAGTTGTGATTCACTCAACTTTGACATCGATTACAACAATAAATAATCGTCATTTTTCACTGCTTTCAGATGAAAAAGGAACTTCTAGTTAGACCACGGACCAATTTCAGCCAGAGAGTACAAGGCAGCTGTTTTGTTTCCCTTTCTTAGGACTCTTCACCTGTACTTGCCAATAATCCCAGCGACTGGGGTTCAAACCCAGGTTCTTGAGATTACAAGACGAGCTTGCATGCTACAGAGCCGTCTAAGGTTCACTAGCAACTGACTACAGTACGAAGTTGCCTGAATTCCCAGTGGGAAATCTCGACCACTGAAGTCCACCAAGCTGGACGTGAAGACAAATACTCACTAATGATATTAATTGGCGGTAGCGCCAAAAATATGGGAGTGGTGGAAATTAGAACTGGAGGGCCAGTGGATTCCGTCCGAGTGGCTGCGTAGTATACGAGCCAGCCTTTTACCCTAAAAAGTCATTTGTTCAATTCCTTATGGGGATAGGTCGTAGATGCATACTGCTGAACAGTTCCAAATAAGAAAGAAACAGTTGTCTAGTACCGCATACTGGTTTTCGGTGGTTTTCTAACTATATTATTTCCGTGATCAAACTTGCAATCAATCATATTCCTGCAAACCAGCACTTGGAAGGAAGGAAGGAATTAATGTGAGACTTCTGACTTACAAATCGATTTCAAAAATGCGTACGACAGCGTTGGCCGAGAAGTAATCTGGAAACTGTTTCAAAGGCTTTGCAGTGCCTGAATCTTTATAAACCTCATTCAACAGCTGTATATATGACAACATACCATGTGCCAGTTGATCCACAGCGGAAAAGTCAGCAAAACCTGCTTTAGAAGTGAATACAGAAGTAAAACAGGGCTACTTGCACCTTGTTATTACCGATGATATTCCCGGTTTTTGTAATGCACTGGATAATGCGTCAGACTGTGTAATAGGAGTGAGAAGACAGGTATACTTTGCATTGGCCGATAAGAAGACTCCGGAAAATCTGGATTTCGCGTGTAGATGATTTATGCTTAATGTCAGACAAACTCGAGGGCTTGCAGGCGGAAACCAACGAACTTGTGAAAGAGGTGAGCAGGGAAGACATGACTCCAGGTGAACATAGAGAAGACGCAGGTTATGGAGATGAACAACCAGAACTAATCACCATCAAGAAAAGAGATTTGACAGAGGTTACTTCCTTCATTAATCAAGAAAGCATCATTTCAACTACACAGTCGGAACGAACGGATGAAGATGTCAAAACCAACCAGCCAAAATTGGAAAGGCAAAGCAGCACACCTTCATCAGTCTGTAACCAGTTTGGAAATCTTCTTCACTAAGCAGCACAATGAACATAATATGGATTTTCAGTACCAATATAAAATAAGTCACTGCTTGTATACGAGTTCAAAACTTGGCTAGCGTATTATGAAAAAGATTTGCAACAGGCATATGCAAATACTTTTATCAACAGCTACCTACGCTGCCTCCATACTAGAGATCAAATGGCCGGCTGGCCAGAAAGAATTAGTAACGAGAGACTCTGGCAACAGAGCAACCAAGAACCTATCGTCCAACATACAGACAGAAGAGAATAGAGATGTATTGGGCATATATATGTTGAGGAGGCAGTCGAACGGCAATGAATGCCAGGAGATACGTCGAATGGAAGGAATTCAAGTGAGAAGCGACAAATGGGTTATCGGTGCGAGGGTGACATGGAGTAGATCATGTAGGGAGGAGGAGGAGGAGGAGATGAGAGCCTATGATGCGCAATCTTGTAGCTGGCCACCTAAAGACGAATAGCAGAAAGTAGAACAAACAAGGAAATGTTTTGTTGAAGTCATCTGTGAGACATGACAGCAGGTATGCACGCATAGATGCTTGAAATTCTTCCCTATACTCATACTAAGCCACAGTTATTTATTTTTTATTCATTGTGTTTTGAGTGCAAAAGAAAACTGTTTCATGATTTGAAGTTTCAGCAGCAGTAGTAGTAGTGTGGGAGAGCAGGCTGCTAGCCGATTGGTTGGCACTAATCTACGTTAAGGTCTAGGTCACTAATATGGGCCGTGAGAAAATATGAACAAGCCTGAGTCAACAACCAATCACAGCAAAGTTAACGTGGCAAAATATGATTCGCAGAGAGAACTCTATTTGTCAAGGAATCCCGAAACAACCAATCAGAAGCCTGCGTTTGTCTACCTAAACAACCAATCAGATGACTGCGCTTGTCTATAATAATGTAGTTGAAAGATGTATAAGTACGTGTTGATTTTCATAATAAAACGATCTGTTGCCTGGCCCTTGTCTTCTGTTGTTACAGTAGTAGCAGTAGACCTTCCCTACTCTTCCGGCTTACTATCCACTTGTGAAGTATGTGGATTGACACAGTGTGTCAGTGGAAATTTACAACTCGAACTTCCTACATGGCTGTCTAGAATAATACCACTAAATATTCGGTTGTAATATATGTGCATACAAGTAATCCTTACAAACACTTCCACTGTAAAATTCATTTAGAAAACAAGAAAAATGTCTAGATGGGTTAATGAAATTTATTTTATTGATGAGAAATTCAATAAAATGGATTGAAGATATTGATTCTTATTATTTATACTCAACTTCCTAAGGTCCCCTTAGTCATATATGAGCTAAGGAAGGTATCCATATATCCAAGAAAATATGAACGTTTCATTTATCAGCTAAAATAATGTATGCAGATAGCTTGCTTATTCAGTTTTTAAATGTAAAAATAAAATAAATAATGATAATAGCGATAGTGATAATAATAATAACGATAACAATAATAATAATAATATTAATAACGACACCAACAATAAGGAATGTAAATCATTGACAATAATTCCATACAAAGAAGGAACCTTGGAAGCCTTATGCAGAATTCTTAACAAGGCAGGAATAAAAGTGACAGGCATTCAAACCCACAGACTCAATTAGAAACTACCTTTGTCGGTTAAAGGACCAATCCTGTGAAGCCTTTAAAACAAAACGATTTAGTTTATCTAATATACCCTGCCTGCAATGATTGTGAGGTCAAATACATAGGTGAAACTAGTAGAACAGGGACAGTCAGAGTAGCTGAACATAAAAACCCAGCAGCAAAATCTAGATTGGTTGACCTAAATAAGATAAGAAATCTAGAGAATAGTTCAGCTATAGCACTGCATGCAGTTACACACAACCATACAATAGGCTGGATGGGATAGGATGACAGTTTTAAAATCTAATGTCACAGCGAAGTGGAGGGAGAGATTGATAACAGAAAGCTTTGTTTATCGCATCGACTGCAAACCACACGTGTTATAGGAATGATTCAACACCTGTCTACCCAGATATCTGGAAAATTCTACTACCCCAACGACAAATAAAAGGAAACAAAGAAAACTATAAAACTCAAGTTTCAAAGTCGTGTGATTACAATTGATATGATTATGAACAATACATTTTAAACGAAACTGTGTCATCCAGTAAATACTAATACTGTTTCACTGTGTGATACATCTAATAAATAAACTAATATGGAATTACTTACTACCACAGTGCCCAAGTTTTACACATATATTATTCAGTTTTACTTTCAATTATTGTGCTACAAGTGGAACATAGAGGTTTAAGCTCTGAAACTGCTGTAACGGTGGTGTTATTTTTACTATACCACCATTAACCTTTCCTGCCGATTGCTTCCAACCATCGACTGTTAACAGTTCACAGTGCAGTATACCGTGATGGCGAGCCACCTAGTAGTATGGTGGGAACACTGAGAACTTGACTGATAGAATTCAGTCTGCACCAAACACAGGACTAGCTAGACACACTATACTAGTCACTAACAAGTGTCCAATCAAAACAAATATCCGAAACAGTTCAACCGGAGGTCATCAGTCGATAGCCCGAACAGCTCAGCAGTAACGTCTCTGACTTCAGTACTCACTGGGTGACGCAGGTTAGAATCGTGGAAGAGACAAGAGTTCTTTCAAGGTTGTAGATATGCCGCCTGGCCAACGGGTGAGTGCTAACTAGCACGAAATATAGGTCAGGCAAGGCTCTCTGTGGCCGATTGCCTCCCCTCTCTTTTAAGCTGACAACATGCTGGGTGAGATTACGCCAGCCTGGAATCCAACCAACCCAGACCTCTCTGACGGCATAAAGACAAATCTTATGAATTCAAAAAATTAATTTAATTAAATCATAATTACCTTCTAGTTGTATTTCAATTTGTACTAGATTCAATGAATGGAAACAGGCTAATATTGTTGAATTGATTAATTCATCATTTTGATGTATGATAATATTTCGTCTTTCATTATCACATTGAACATTGAAAAATTGTAATAGATCTCCTTTATCAAATAATGATAATACTTTTAAATTTAATTCCTCAACATTATTATTTGGTAACATCACCATCATTTCATTAGCGAAAATATTTATACATGAATAATAATGACTTAAATTCATTTGATTTTGTATCATCTCTTCAAAATGCTGTAAACATTGAACTAGCTTTTGACGTGTTGTTTGTTTTAATGTATCACGGAATGATGGCGGTAGCAAATTGTTCAATGTACAACAATCCCAATGAATTATTGGCAGAGAACATTTACGTTTTAGCATAGATGATCACTGAACAGCTTGTTTGAATGATATGAGGTTGTTATTTTAAAATTTTGTAATTCTTTATCATTTTTGTCGAAATCTAATAAAATGTTCACTTCATTCTTTCCCAATTTTACATTTACCTGTGAAAAAACAAACAACAAAGTTTTGTAATAAAAATATGAAGACGATAATTAGGGTAGTTTGATAAAATATTTTTGAATATATTGAATCCTATACAGTAAGCTGACGTCGATGTTCTGACGGCGGAATGTTCTCCAGCCATACAGCAGTAATAAGTTTGACTCCTTGCTGGTGAAATTCTGAATGTTGTACAATCTACTAGCTGCAAGTAAGCCTGGTAAGGTTGCAAGTCAAGTCAGCCAGCTATCTCACCTTTAATCCGGGTGAAAATAAACCCACTGTTAGACGAACTTCAAAGTCTGAAGCTATCTGTTCCAGTACCAATCCAAAGAAATAAGAAAATAGTAGTCACTTGATGAAAAGATGTCATCAAGGTTAAAAAATCATACTGATCTGTTTATACTGAGTTCTCAGGTTTTGCAAATTCTACTTGCCGAAGTCCTGATACTGTTAAACAGTTTAGGTAAACAATCATGGACTTCATGAATCTGTATGTCATTGCCTTTGTCTGGTCACTCTCAGTTTTCTGCTAGATATAACTGTGAGGTATACGGTAATCTAAAAGAACAACACCCGTTGAAAACAAATAATTTAATGACAGTCAATAACATTTCCAAGTATTGGTTTTATTTTCCAGGGATTTTGTTTGATTGGTTGAAGGATTTCATCATGATGAGTTGACATCAGTTAGAGGAACATTGGAAAATCACCACTGAAGTACTAGACAGCTGTTTCGTCCTAGTTTGGGACTCCGCTTCAGCAGTGCTTACCCACTGGGGTTCGAAACCAGAACATTCTGGTTACAAGGCGAGCCACCTCGTAGACTGTTAAACCACTGGTACCCAATTCAATAGCCCCATTTGGTGCGTAATGCTGAAGCGGAGACCAAAACTAGGACGAAACAGATGGCTGTTCAGGACTCCAGTGATGGTTTACCACTGGCTCCTTAACTAATATCAGCTCATCATGATGAAATCCTCCAACCAACTGCTAGACTTTACAGTATTCTGGTTGACCTGATTTTCATACTTGATGGCGAATATAACCAAGAAGTGTCTGAAACTTTGTGGGAACTGATAATCCCCCCCCCAATGGTTCAAACCTGCTTCACTCGGTACCTGATTCCGTGACCTTAATGTTAAGCTGGTGAGGTCATGCCACACTCCTATAAGATTTGATTATATACAATAAGTGACTGACAACAAATGGCGGAATTTGTAGTTGTCATGCGCTGAACGATGATCAGAATGTGTTGATCAGATGTGTCATGGGATCTGATTAGCCTAAATGACACTACACATTGTTGCTCATTGCAACCGTAATTTAATTGTAAAGATACAGATCTCAAAGTTGATTAACGCGTATGTGAATTTTAGAGCAAATAAAATAATAATAATAATAAACAATTTATGCCAATAATCCGGTGAATTTCTCTAAAACCTCTTATCAAATTGCAGTGCATAAGTTAACCAATGGCAGCATGCTTGAAAATTCAAGTCCAGATTTAATTTTCGGCAGGTACACTGCTAAAAACTTTGCCTAGCCGGTAGTAGGCAGGCTAGGAAACAATGAATTCAAGTGTTGGGTTGTAGGGATTTGATTGGTGTACAGGATTTCATCATGAGCTGACATTGGTTAGAGAACTATTGGAAAACCTGGGAGTACTAGACAGCTGTTTCATCCTAGAAGTTAGAATTCATGGGCTGACCATTGGATCGGGTCCCAGTGGCTCAATGGTATACAAGATCGCCTTGTAACCAGAAGCTCCTGGGTTCGAATCCCGGTGTGGTTGCGTACTGCTGAAGAGTCCCAAACTAGGCTGACGAAACATCTGTCCAGTACTCCCAAATTTTCCTTCCAGTGGTTCTCTAACTGATGTCAGCTCATGATGAAATCCTGTAAAAAATGAATTGTCGGACGTGAGGTTAACAGCCCCACCTTGAACTAAAACGAAATGGCACCACCGTTACGGCTGAAAATTCAAAGCTTAGAGAGACTCGTCAAGTAGATGATGGATGCTAGTTAGTGACCAGATCGAAGTGTTAACCAAGACCGAGCATTTCGATGCAGCAAAATCTATTCACCAGAAATTACAAATAGTAAATATTTTGTGTCTCTTTAAGAGTCGAATTAGGATGCATAAGTGCTAAATCTTTTTTAATATTTCGAAAATTTTTATATAGCGAAAATATTTATTCAGACATTTATAGAAAAAAAGTGAACAAAGAATATCCTCTTCGGTAATTCCCTCTTCTGGCTCTACAATTATATACGTATATGTTTATATACATAGAATATACTGGAATAATCATCATTACCAATATTGATGGTGCTTCGGTGGTATAACGGTTAGGACGCTCGCCGACCATGCACACGGTTCGGGGTTCGATTCCCGGCCATGGACGCACTCCTTTACCTCGCTAAGCCAGAAATATTGCTGGTAAAGAGGAAAGGTTGGGATGAGGCTAGCTAGCAACCCCATCCTGTAAAAATAATAAACACTGCTACAGAAACGTCAAGCCTCTAGCTTGAAGCCCTATGTTCCACTGGGGAACGTGAAGGAAAAAAACCTAATATTGATGATTTTAAATACTGTCGATTTGTTCGGTAAGATCAATGAGATTACAGTTCAAGAAAGAGGCTTAAGTTCTAATAAGCAAAACAACGTAATAGTGAGTAGAATACCAAATAAAATTGAGGAAATTTCCACAACTAATTGAGGATCATTAAAACCTTGATGGCCGACATGAGCATAGTGTCTTTTTCTTGGATACATAAGTTAGGTTACTTAAAATAGAACTCAACAGCCTCAGAAATATGTTGTAGACAAACTGTTAAAGTCAACTTAAAATAAGTTGGTATGCAGTAGATGACTTTTAAAGCTTCGTTAACATAAATGTCGTGTTCTTTATCCACAAGATGAGATAGAATAGAACTATGTATGAACTTTGTTTGTCTCCTACTCAACCATAAATGGTGGTGTTGGAAAGTGCGTCGGTGGCACAGTGGTTAGGACTCTCGCCGACCATGTACATGGTCCGAGGTTCAATCTGTTGACGCACACCGGATATCTATGGTCGGCCTGCAAAAAATTTGGGCTACCGATAGCCATGCTGAAAATTCCATACTTGTACCAAAAATACAGTGTAGAATCAAGCTTTAATCAAAAATAAAAATAAAAAAAGTTCAGCGATAAACGTATCGGGTTGTACGAACTAAGAAGCTGACTGGCTCCACATAAGCAATCCAAGTTGATAGATGAATATAAAAGAAGAGAAATTATGCAGTTTATCTTTTACTCCCGAACGCGATATAGGGATGGTTTTGAAGACATGGCATAATTCAGAAGCTCTGAATCCTCTTTGTACCACATTTCTTAGACATTATCCCCAAGGAAGTGGAGTTGTAAGAATAACGCCCTTTTCAGAACTGTTGATACTTTCGCCTGCCTTCACTTTTGATTCAATTTTTTGTGAATGAATTTTTCTGGACAACTGTCCTCACTGAATAACCGTTGAACAATATTAAGGTTTTAATCAAGACATTTATCAGTGCAGATTACCCTTGCTCTATGGACAAAGCATTTTATAAGACTGAGTTTGCAATTTAAAGTGGGAAAGCTGAAAAAAGTGAGTATACTGACCAGTTGATGGAGGTTTTGTGTATATTATTTATTATTGCTCCCTTGAGTTCCTAGTGGAACATAGGGCTTCAACTGCACGTCTCCACTTGCCACTTCTGTCTTCCTTCTGCTGTACTTTTCACCTGCATCAATGTTAGTCCATATTGTTTCAGCTATTCACAAGATCTCCTCTACGTCACCCTTGGACGTCCCACTCGCCACTTCCCTTTCGGCCTGGTTCCACTCGAGCAATGGCCTGACGCGCGATGTCACCCAGCGGTGGCCTCCTCAGCGAGTGTCCAATCCATCTCCACTTTCTCCTGCATATTTCCTGTTGTTAGGCGATTGCTTCTTGTTTTGTTTGTTTGTTCCCATAGTTCCTTGTTGGTGATTGATTCTTTCCGGTCCGGCCATCTGATCTTCAGTATACAGACAGCGAAGAAAGTTGTTGATAAAGGTCTGGTCTGCAACAGGCTGTTGGAAATATTCTTTGTGACCCGTCCGCCCGCCAAGTTTCTCATTCGTATAGAAGAAGTGACTGACTTGACGTTGTTTGTATTGAAAATCCGACTGAATTTTTTTGTTGATGCTGGCTGAGTGACGAAGATTTCAAGATTGGTTTCAGGTTGGTGAATGTGTTTCTCGCCCCCCACCCGATTCTCGCTCGATTTGACATCTTTGTCCGTTCCGACTGCCTGTAGTTGAGACAATGCTCCCTAGATAGGAGAATGAAGTAACCTCTTACAAATCCCTCCCGTTGATGGTGATTGACGCTGGATGTTGCTGTTGTTATTGGTTGGTTGGTTATTTTCATAACCTCCGTCTTGTTTACCTATGTCCACTTGGAGTCCTGTCTTCTCTGGCTGCTTCTTCGATCAGTTTGTCGGTCGTTTTTCGCTTGTTAATCTTCGATTGTGTGTGACATCGAACATAAACCATCCACGCGCGAAATCCAGGTCTTCTAGGTTCTTCACGTCGGTTCAGGATATTCCTGTCTTCTCGTTTCCCACTGTCTGACGCATAATCCAGTCCACCACAATTAGGAATATCATTGGTGATAGTAAGCACCCTTGTCTGACTCCTGTGTTTACTCCAAACGCCTTGCTGAGTTTTCTGTTGTGGATCACTTGACGTGTGCCGTTGTCGTACAGCTGTTGAATAAGATTGATGAATATTTGGGGTACGCCGTAGTACTCGAGTAGTTTTATGTATACATATACGCTAATTCTTCTTTGTATTGTACCGTCCCCTTTTTCTGTCCTAACTATGTCTAGGAATAAAATACTGTAGTCTTTTTCTTTTGTCGATGTTAAGATTTATTGCAGGATGAACATCGTTAAATTTGTCCAGGATGTTCTTCGCTTCATCCTCATTTTA